GGTCCTGGGGGGGGGGGGGGGGGGGGGAGAACAGACAAGAATCATTTGGGCCACAGGAACATGGACTTGTTGCAAAGACGACCACACTCTGTTGCGTCTTGTTTGATGTAGGCCCTCAGTGGCATCAAAATTGGTGCTCTTTCTGCTCGGCCGTATGCATACAAAATTATTGACATTACCGTGGGACCGACGCAAGGGATTTGTTTCAACAAAGTTGACCAAAGGAGAAGATGTGGAAGAAGTCATGGCCCAATGGCCGCAGTCGAGTCGACAAGCACCAAGGCGTGCGAGGGGTACCAGGTGTCTCCAAGGCGTGATACTTTTCTTTTCTGCCGTGAATTGGTAACGAAGTCTCGTCTGAGTTTCTGATAATCAGGTCCTTCTGTACTAAAACCACATACACGAACTAGACCGTCTTCGTTCGATGGCCCGTCTTTCTAAGCTTGCTACACGTATCCCCAACGGCTGGGTGAGCTTGCGTGTGGCGAGGGCTAGGGTCAGGTCGGTGGGTGCCCTTGTGTGAAGAGGAGGACAGCAAGCGGACCCAATTGAACCAACAAACGGGGTGTTGATGATTCATCATGAACACAAGTGTCGAAACACCTTGTTTACAACGCGATGGCAACGAAGAGAGGAGAAAAAGCAGGCGGCGGTGTGCATGCTACAACTGTTGCTTTCAGCACTTGGGTCTGTCTCCCAACCGAGACGCGAGGTCGCCATCAATTGCTGTTGCTGCTGCGGCGTTGGCGTTGTTACTGACATTTTTCCTGTGTCGTGTTGATAACTAAAAACGTGCTCGCACCTCTATCCAGTTAGTTTACCTCCTCTTCCACGCTCTCCGACACAAAGAAACGGGGTTCCGTTGTCGAAAGACGAAGAAGACCACCTGACTGAACAGGATACAAATGTTTCTGTCCTCTTAAGTCTAGGCTGTCTTCTGATCGGTGAACGTTTCAAACCAATGAGTCGCAGTTGTCTCTTTATTTATGACACCTGTTTCCTTGCCTCGCGTTGTTCGCCGTTCGCTGTATCTCTCCCATCACATCGCGGACGGCAGGATGGCATACACGGCAGCACTTTAGCGCGGAAAATTTGAAAAATTGGCGTTGAACATAGGGAATAAACCTTCATCGAACCCTCTGCTTACTACTGTCGGATACTATCGATGTACCACAACAACCGTTAAACGCAGTGGCTACAACAAACAGGGGGAGGAATCGCTCGATATGCAAAATGGATGGAGACTGCAGTAGCTAACGTTCCGACGATGCTCATCCCGTATGAAGACTACACGTACCAATTCCAAAACCACGCTCGTTAGGCTAATTGTCGCGAACTACATGAAAACCATACCCGTATTTCAAGAATATACTTCTGCGCACATCCCCTACCCAAGGCGAAGCAGAAAGTGGCGTTCTTCAACAAAAGTGAGCCAGGTGGGGGAGCGGCGGCTCTAATCTTGCACGGGTTGCCGCACAGAACGCGCCACCACTGAAGGCAGAGGTAGCAGTTCAGAACTTGAGCCTCAAAATGTCCAAAATGATGAACTTGGCCATACCGATTGGGGACCTTGCACTTTGTATGGCGGTTGGGGTCAACCAATTGGGACGAGTGTCCCGGAGGGCAGGAAGCTTGAAGTTCGAGCACGTGAGCAGTACAAGCCTACACAGTACACAACGGGATTCGGGAGTGGTGTTGCGTACCCTACGAAATTTGGGAGTCGAGCGGCGATCGGGGGAAAGCACGGTGTGGGGGGAGTCACTAACAGAGACAATCTCATTTCATGGGTAGTGTCACGATGGCATCGAAGTTGGCGAAGAAAAAGAGATGGGACTTGGTCGTTCGAGACGACTATTAGCTCGAGACGTATACGTAAGATTAGTTATTTTCATCGGAGGCACAAGATCTTCGGTTGATGTTTGGAGACGATAGAAATCAGTTACGGGGAGAGAGGCAAAGACGCGATAGAAAGAGCGCAGAAAGGTGTCTGCGGCAAACGTTCTCTCTGCCAGGTTGCTCTCTTTCTCTTTCCTCGGGGTAATTAAAAAGAATAAGACGCACTTCGAAATAAAACACAATGAAACCTACTACAGTAGATCGAGCATCTTCGTCCTCAAGTTCAACGGCCAATGGCACGACAACATTGTAAAGCGCGGCTGTGACACCATTCCTTCGCATGCAATTGGTAACACTAAGAGCTGACAAGTGTCTCATACCCTCCGCCTATCACAACCATCTCATGAGGAACGAGAACGTGCGGGTCTATAGGCGCCGCGTCTGGAGGCCTCGAATATTCGACAGTGCATTTGGACGCCTACACACCTCATGCGGGACAGCGTGTTGCCGCACTTGCTTATCCTAGACTTGGCGCGGCTTCCTGGCGGGCAGCGGTCTCTCTCTCCCTAGCCTCCGTCTTCTCCTTGTACGCACTTTGGACCTTTTCTACGCGAGCTGTTCGTTTTCATCAACTTCAATCGAATGCGTCCATCCGGTCATGCCCCCCACCGCAGATCCCGATCGTCACAGAAAAGACAGCATTGAACCTGTTGTTAGAAATTGCGTGCCCAGCGGGTGATTTCTTCGAAGGCACCTGTGCGCCATTGCGTCTTTCTTGGTTGAGAAAAGCTAATGAGTGACCGAAGCACACTTGGCAATCACGGCGCCTCAAAGGTAAAAGGAAACCCACAACGACAAAACACATGCTTGTACGAAGCAAAGCACCCACGCGAAAATAACCTCCCTCCGCACAGCCCCCCCCCCCGGTGGAACCCCCCCCCCCCCCCGGCCTGTTTGCCCTTTGGGGTTGGGGTTTTCTCGCCTGGGCCCCCCGTCGTTTAAATTGCCGGCCCCCCCGGGGGTTTCCCCCCGGGGTTGGGGTTTCCCCCCCTGGGCCCCCCGGTTTGGAAAAAACCCCCCCCCCCGGGGGTTGCCCTCGGGATTGGGGTTTCGGCGCTTGGGAACCACGTTTTAAAAAAAACCAAATTCCTTTTGGGAACCCGGAAACCGGGTACCGGTTTTTTTTTTTCCCCCGTTTTTTTTTTGGGGGAACCCAAAAGGGGGTCCAGTAAAATTTGTTTGGGGGGGGCCAAAAACCCCCCCCCCCCCCAAGGGGGAAGAACCCCCCCCGCTGGGGTTAAAATAAT